TTCTTTGAATCACTCAATATTATTGAAACTATTGTTATATTTTCAAACAACAATGTTTTCTGCATATACTGTAATCGATGTCAGTGTTAATGTCGATGATCTGGATAAGTTAAATTTGCGAAAAATTCATAAAATTACATTGACTCAAGAGAGCACAATTCGTTTTTTTACAAAACTTAAAACTATTACCTACTTTACCAACAACGAATGAAAAGTGTGGTGTACATGATTCTCATGACTGTTACTTAGCAAAATATCAACATTTAGCCGATGGCAAAATAAACCAGCTAAAGTTTTTCTAAACAAATTGTATCATGTTTAGGTTGTATCAAATGCACTACGCGTGGCGACCTCTTCGAAAATTAAATGGGTCGAGATTTTCTTTAATATTAGAAGATGGAAAAAAAAATTCTCTATCAAACTGTACTTTTACTTTTTTCTAAAAAAGTGATTGCAACCAAGAAATAATCGATACAATCTGGCCAATAGAAACAAAGATAGCCTGGAATGGCTTCAGCATGGAATAGTGGATTAATCCTGGAATAGTAATACAATACAAAATGACAGCTTCATAGACTGAATTTTCATTTTATTACATTTGAGTTTATCTATTCGCAATTTCTTTTATATAAATGAAGTCTATTTGTAAATACTAACGATCATTAAATTTATTTTGAAATCAATTTTACGATCAACAAAAAAATTAACAAATAAATACGATTACAACAAAAGAACAAACGAAAAGAATTATGGCTTGTTTTTATTGTACTTCATTTTTGATCCGTAGTTTTTTTTAAACGTGTACCTCGTCATGGTTTTGATTTAGATTGCCCCGGAGGTGCTTCTAAAAAGAAATGGAAAACAATCAAGGTGAAACATAAAAACAAAATGATTATTTCTAAAGTTGTTATGTAAGGATTTGCTATCCGTTTTATTTTAGAAATTAAATGAAAACATGGCGAAGAACATGGTATTGAGTGATCGAAAACGTTCTAAAAGGATGAAATTTATGAGTATCAAAAGATACTCTTGATTGCGCATATAGTGCTTCCAATGGAAATCCAAAACAAAATGTACGCGTACACTATGGATATGCACACAAATTGGAAGTGTACACTTTGCCAGTAGTAGCAAAATTTACTAATATCGATTTTTTTTTTCTATCTAGAAAACAAAAAAAATGATGTTTATTAATTTATGAGAAATATAAATTAGCACTTGATGAACAAATAATCAATTAATACACAGTATTTCATGATGTAACTTTTTTTTTTACAAAAAAAAAAAAAATAAGTCTTTTATAACAAACAAAAAAAAATATATTAACTGCAATTACAAAATGCTTTTTTATGTCGAGGGATATAAATTTAAGCAAGGGATATGAAATAAAGGATAGTATTTTTTATTATTCAGCTAGAAAATTACACGTAAGAGATCATAATGTATTGTCGTATACTTATTGCCATGATGATATTTGCACAACTTTTTAAATTCTAGTCTAGAACCAAAGTTTTTTTTTACAAGATGTACACAGTACATTTTACTTCTTTTAGTAAAGTGTAAATCAGGGTGTAAATCAAAAACAGAGATGTTCTGTATATTTTGCTTCTGCTGTGTACACCTTCTGTTGAAAACATTGTGTGCATGTATATAACAATAAGAACATGATACCCTATTCTTATTGACTGTCGTGTCTCATTGCTCCCTATTGGTCTGCTTAATTAATAATTTTCTCGAGAAAAAAAATAGGCCGGAAACTCTGACTACATGAGATGATTTGTCTTGTGTCAAGCTACATTTTGATATTAAATACTCGCTCTGAAAAAGTGATCGGAGTATTTCTGAAATTAGCGTCACTAAGTGCATAAGTGTATTCGCCATTTGATCTTTTTTTCTCGATTTGTCTGTAGGCTATTTTGTCATTCTAAGGGGTCGAACACACTAGAGACAACTGACTTAACTTAAGGTTGAATTAAATAATGTGATTGGTTAAGTCAGACTTAAGTCATCTTTTTGAGATGACTTAAGTCTAAATTAACCAATCACATTAGTTAAATCAACCTTAAGTTAAGTCACTTTTTCTAGTGTGTTTGATCCCTATGTGAAGAGGATTATTGGGAACATTTTTTTTCACGTCTCATGAGAAATATAACTAATGATAGGACAGAACATCGTCTACTCTGTCTAAGCGTATACGAATGATTTATTCAATCATTATTTCTTTTCTTTTTCTTTTCACTGTTCTTCTTTATTTTTATCTTGTTCCTCTTTTTCTAGTGCTTCTTTTTTTTGTGTTTCTTTTTATCCTTCTCTTCTATTTGTGTCGTTCTTGTTTTTCGCTTTGCTCAAGATTGCCGAGTCAAAACGCATGACTCTATCATATATTTTCTTCATTTCATTCATTCTCACAAAATAACAAGTAGATACAAATGCGCGAGTGTCTCTCAATTCACATCGGTCAAGCTGGCGTCCAAATTGGCAATACATGTTGGGAATTATTTTGTCTTGAACATGGTATTCAGCCCGATGGAAAGATGTCATCCGACAATATAATAAGTGGGGATAATGACTCATTCAACACTTTTTTTACAGAGACAAGAACGGGACAGTACGTTCCTCGAGCTATGTTTATCGATCTCGAACCGACTGTCATTGGTACGTCTCATTATCTTTGTCATTTTGAGGACGACAAGTATTTTGTTTTGTCTAGGCGAAATTCGAAATGGTGCCTATCGACAATTATTTCATCCAGATCAAATGATCACTGGAAAGGAAGATGCGGCAAATAATTATGCTCGTGGACATTACACAGTTGGAAAAGATATCATCGATTTAGTTCTCGACCGTATGCGAAAGATGACTGATCAATGTACCGGACTTCAAGGTTTTCTTATCTTTCATTCATTTGGTGGTAAGTGCTCATTCTTTCTTTAGTCTTTTTTTTCTGAACAATATTTTTCTTTCAGGTGGAACCGGATCTGGTTTCACATCTTTGTTGATGGAACGGCTGTCACTTGAGTACGGAAAGAAGTCCAAACTTGAATTTGCAATTTATCCGGCTCCACGGATTTCGACAGCTGTCGTCGAACCCTACAATTCGGTTTTGACAACGCACACAACGCTCGAGCATTCTGATTGCGCTTTCATGGTCGACAACGAAGCCCTTTGTAAATAGAAGCAGTCAAGAACATATTTCTACCATTAAGGGAGATAGTAGACATAAAACTTGAAGATTGGTCAGCAATTTTTTTGAGAGAAAATGACATAGATTACGGAGTCATGTGAATGAAATTCAACTTTGAAAGGGGTCCAAAAAGATTGGTTTCAAATTCTGTAATTAAACATTCGAAAATAATTTCTAAACAAAGTAGAATCGACCCAAATATCAAAACATTGTATTCATTATGTCAAAATATGGTAAGAAAATTACAAAGGTTATTTTCTCTTTGTGCAATTGTCTTGATCAGAATTTCGTAGATGGTTTTTATTTTCTAATGGCATTGTAAAAAAGGACTGACGAGATTTTTTTTTACCGTTGTTAAAGTGAACTTCGAATAGAATTGCTGGCAGAATGCAGTCAGCTAGAGTTCTGACAAGTTTGATCAATGGATTCAATTAATTTCTCTTTTTGACAGTAAAAAAGTGCATCATTTCAAGTCGAGCTTTTCTAAAGTACCAAACTCCATTAGCACATTGCATTTAGTTCTTAAACGAAGATGCCTCTTATCTTATTTAACCTGTGACTCTTTTCAGATGATATTTGCTGCCGAAACTTAGACATTGAAAGACCGACGTACACAAATCTAAATCGATTGCTTGCTCAAGTAGTCAGTTCAATTACTGCCTCTCTCCGGTTCAATGGCGCTCTCAATGTCGATCTAGCCGAATTTCAGACGAATCTCGTTCCCTATCCTCGGATTCACTTTCCACTCGTTACATGTGAGTCATACTTTTTCACAGAGTTCATTCTATTTACCATGCTCTTATTTAGATGCTCCAATCGTTTCAGCCGAAAAGGCTTGTCATGAGCAGTTGTCAGTAGCCGAAATTACGAATGCGGCATTCGAGCCTAGTAGCCAAATGGTGAAATGTGATACCCGAGCTGGTCTGTTCTTTTTTTCTTGCATTGTTTTGTATTTGATTATCTCCTACTTACAGGTAAATACATGGCTTGTTGTCTGCTTTACCGTGGGGATGTCGTCCCGAAAGACGTCAACTCGGCCATTACAGCAATCAAGACAAAGCGGATAATTCGCTTCGTTGACTGGTGTCCCACTGGGTTCAAAATTGGCATAAACAGTCAACCACCAGCTGTCATTCCCGGTAGCGATCTTGCTAAGATACAGCGAGCCGTATGCATGCTCTCAAGTACGACAGCCATAGTCGGTATGTCTTCTTAATTTTTTTGCTTTTCGGTTTGTTAGATCGTGCACATAGAATGACGATCTAAGACGAAAAAGAAAATAACATCGTCTCTTCTAGTCTAACTGGCTTAGGACATCTGCCCGGATAGCAGAAGGTGTGGGTTCGAGCCCCACGAGGAGCGCATCTTTTTCGTTCTGTCATTGTATCATCGTCTCCTTTCGACCGTGTATGTAACTCGGTTGATGCTTATCTTTGCAGAGGCTTGGGCACGACTCGACCACAAGTTCGACTTGATGTATGCCAAGCGAGCATTTGTTCATTGGTACGTTGGTGAAGGCATGGAAGAAGGTGAATTCAGCGAAGCACGAGAAGATTTGGCAACACTAGAGAAAGACTACGAAGAAGTTGCCACTGACAGCGTTGAGGTAAGAATTTTTTTCTCTACTTCTTATAACTAGACGTTACTTTTATAGGGCGAAAGTGAAAACAACATCGATGAATATTGAACTTATAATATATTCGATCTCGTCTCTTTTTCGGATTAGACGAACAGTACTTGTCATCCAATTCGATTTGTTTTATGATCTCCTTTTTTTGCTTGCACCGACAGAAATAAAATGGAGGAATACTAGTCTATGAATCATTTGAATCAATAGCCGACTATAAATGTCTATCGACATCGGTACAAGCATTTGACGTCGAAAAGTTCAATTAGTCAAATATCGCCCATAAAGAGCGAAAATTTGAGAAAGCTTACGAACATATGAATCTGAGTTTCTTTTAGACAAATTGTTGAAGAGTAATAAGCGCTCAAGGAAAATAAATTAAAAGACATCTCTCTTTTCAAAACTGAAGATGGGTCGACTTTTCAAGGTGGATATGGAATGCAGCCGAACGCATTACTTATGCTTTTTTATTCCGAAAACTGAAAACAATGATGAAAAAAGCAGGAGAAAAAAAATGATGTGTATGAAAGTCATCGATTGAAGGAGAGAGAGAGAGATAGAGAGAAAAGATAAAGATGGCACAGTCGGTCTCTTTTTCTTTCTTTATCGCTGTACTTGATTTATAATGCATACATCGATACGACTGATTAGTCGGTATTCGTTTACTAGATGTTCCACAATGAATAAATAACAACATTAAAGCTGTTGTTCTTCACTATGAAAAAATGTTTTACTTTCTTATACTGAAAGAGCTTTCATATAGCGTGCGTGTAAAAAAAAATCCACCTTCAGAACTACACCTACATCTTTCTTAAATATGACGGATACAACACAGACATCTTGGCCATAAACTAGAATATTGGACAAGAAACTTACAGTAAATAAATTTCAAATCGATTCGATTTCTCGGTGAAATTTCTAATTTTCTCTTCAAAATTTAGTTCAAGTCATTTTTGTTCTTTTTGTTTTTATCTGTTCTGTTTTTTTACTTTTTTTTGTAGTTTGTGCTTGCAATTCTAATGTAGACACTTGACGAGTGTTTATATTTTAGTAAATAATATGAAACGCGTTGTCGAAAAAGAATTCTACATTGTCAAAACACACTAATGTAGTATTCTATTTTTATTTGATTTTTGACTTAATTGCTTGTTGAAAAGCAAGAATTGAGATACGCAGTGGCTGAGCTTCATATTTTGTTAAAAGATTAGTCAGTCTGTTCTTTAATTGATACATTCATACCTTCAAGTGCAGAGATAAATGAACGAATCACGATGTGAATCAGCAGGATGAAGTTATCAACTAATTTATTTCGGAGAATTTCATACTGCATACGCCAAAATAATTAGATTTTTAAATGTATATTTCTATTATACAGGGTGTCCCAAAAGTCCGGTCGGAAAGTTAATTCAAATATCTCTTATACAACTAAAGCAATTTAATTGATTTTTTTATAATATACTAGTATGTTCTTTAAAGTTTTATTTCATATAATTTAGTTTACAACAAATGTTCAAAATGATTACCATCAACTGAAATACATAAATCCATCCTTTTTACGATATTTGAAAAAGCATTGCATAAAGTTGCTTTTGAAATCGATTTAATTTCTTTCTCGATTCTCGTTTTCAATTCAGCCATATCTTTGATAGGAGTTTTGTAGACGTTGTTTTTCACATGTCCCCATAAAAAAATTGAGAGGCGTTAAGTCTGGTGTACGAGGAGCCCACTGAATTGAATCACCCCTGCCTATCCACCTGTTACGAAAATTTTTATCCAAAAATTGTCGTACGATACGGGCAAAATGGGAAGGAGCCCCGTTTTGTTGAAATATTATTGAACGCAGCTTGTGTAGTCGTTTTACTTCTGGAATAAAGAAAGATTGTAGCATTGATAAATAATTTTCTCCATTAACAGTATCGTTCTCGAAAAAGAAAGGCCCAATCAAGTGATTTTTCGACATTGCACACCAAACGTTTAGTTTGGAAGAATTCATAGCAGTTTCGACAGTTACGTGTGAATTATTTTCACACCAGTATCTGATGTTATGTTTATTGACTAACCCATTTAAATAAAATCCAGCTTCGTCAGAATAAAAACAAGTTTTCTTGAACGTGATTGTCTTATAACATTGATATCATTGTTTGACACATGTCAACTCGATCTTGTAAATCTTCTTCATAAATTTGTTGCACAAATTGGACCTTGTACGGCTTTAGAGGAAGATATTCAGTCATAATTCAATGAGCTGTTGTTCGAGGAATGGAGCAGGCCGTTGTGACAGCTCGAACACATAATTGTAGTTCACTTTCACATACATCATGAACTTCATCGACTTTTTCTTCTGTAATTTCTGATGGTTTTCCAGGACGTTCTCTATCTTTCACTACCAGTTTTCCAAAAGCGTTGAAATATTCTCCTAATACAAGTTTCATTTGATCTGTTCTTGTCAAACTCGGTTTGCAGTTTTCGTTTCACAACCATACAGTGGCGTAGCCAAGAATTTTTGAGTCATGGGCCGTTTCCCACCTAAATTATTTTGAGCACTGGGCAGTAATGGGCAATTCAACGTCAATTGGGCTATACATTTTTTAAAATTTATAACCATTACAAAAGTCGACGTTTATTGAAAAGAAGTTTGTTACTGTCAACTAAGAGGAGCTCTCTCGCTTTTTTTAGTACTAGTTCACAAATGTAGTCTTCGACTTTCCAATATTTGAATATTTTATCGGGTGGTCCAGATTAAATGGCAGTGTCTTATTTTCTCTTTTTTGCTTTGCTATGTCAATAGTTTCTTGTAACTTTTTACCAAAAGATGCGCAGCAAAACGCTCTACAAAATGGCATATTTCAATTAACTATGATAACTTTCATTATCTGATAAAAGCTTAGAAAACTATTTTGAAAAATTAATGTAACTTTCTAAAAGACCTTTTGGGCGTAATATTTCGAATAACGTACATTTCGCGGATTAGTGATTGCTAATCTGTTATTTCAACGAATTCATTCTATATAGTAGTAGGATCGAAGGTGTCTGTGAAGCGGCTTTGCTGTTCAATTGTCTATGAACATCAGTTTCGTTCAAATCACCGATTAACTAATTCGTGAAATGTACGTTATTCGAAATATTACGCCCAAAAACTCTTTTAGAACGTTGCATTAATTTTTCAAAACAGATTTCTATGCTTTTGTCAGACAATGAAAGTTATCATAGTGAACCGAAATATGGCATTTTGTAGAGCGTTTCGTGGTGCATCTTTTGGTAAAAAGTTAGAAGAAACTATTAACATAATAAAACGAAAAAGAGAAAATAAAGACATCGCCATTTAATCTGGACCAGCCGGTATTTCAAAAAAAGGACAAATAAGTAGAGTTCTAACGGATAACGATGAACGGCAAGTCCGGTAAAGAATTCTTTACCGATCGATATACACGCTGGTAGATGCAGCTTTTCTTTACCGACCGGTATAAAGTTTTTTCTAATTTTCGCATCTTTTTTTCTCAAAACAATTAGCATAAGTGTTTTTTTCGTATATCGATCACTTTTTATTGATCTCGAAGACTATTTATGTAAAGGAAGATGAACTTTACTACTTCATTAGTCAGAATTCATCATAAAATTCTTCGTGTATTTTATTAACACACTCTTATCTCAAATTATACTAAAACTGGATAGTTGTTCAAAACTGTAGGTTATCATAGGTTTTCTTGTGTCTCCCTTATTATTTGTAGGACATGTCTCGCACAAACTTGAAAGACAATAAAGAAAATGTGATGCGAAAGCAGATTGCATGTACTATTAATGAATGATGTCCGTATCTGATGAATAATTAATGAATAAGAAAAGCCAATATAGTATTTGTAGTGCTATGAAGTTTTCTGGTTATCAACAAACGTTATAGTGAAAGAAAACTTATGGAAATAAACAGCAAAAAATACTATAAGATGACTTTTATCGTATCATTGCATTAATTGGAAGACAGATATGGGTAGTTAATGGATTTGATTTTCCTGTTATCAGGTCAAACAAATTAAGAATGACTCATGCTCGGTCTGATTCTCTCTACTGTTGCCGGTACCGATCAAGAAAAAGACACTACTGGTTGGAACTCTGCTTTCGTTCACACGTTGAAACAGTTTTTTATTTACATATTCTATCTAGTTGATACAGATTTTTAATTCTTCAGCTGTGAGAGTCATGTCACCGCTGACGGCATCAGTGTTTGTCTTAGATTACTTCAGTCGTTGACGTGGGATATGATTTTATATGCTCAGAAAGGCCGTTAAGCATGCAGCCATCTTTTACGTCAACGCATTTAAGTGGAATAGCGAGAGTTTTGATGAAAAAAAATACTCCAATTGAATTATAATTATTGCGGTCGTTGGTTTAATGGAAAAGATCGTCAATTGATCTTTTCCCATCACATGATTAAATATAGGAGACAATTTATAAAAATTAACATCCCTTAAGTCTTTGAACGCACATATATCATATAATTTCCATATTTCATCTCGATTTATATCGACATCGTTATAGTTGTATGTAGCAGCAAAGAAATAAACAATTCTGAAAAACTAAAATTTCAATGGGCAAAGCCTTAATTTTAAAAATTACAATGGGTAAATCTTAAAATGAAATGTGCAATTGTCCATTTGCCTCCCTCTCCCCTGGTTACGTCACTGAACAAATTGTTGAAGAAATAAAAAAAGAACGAGAATATTCTAATGAACGTTATCAAGCATTAGAAAAAAACAAATGATCAACTTCGATTAGGTTTGTTAGATTAATTATTAATTTTTCTTTGTTTTTTGTTATATAGAATCAGAAAATAATATGGAATCAATTCGTCAATCTTACATAAATATAGTTAATGAACTTAATCAAGAATTACTTGCAATGAAAGAACAATGCGAACAAGCTGATGCTGAAAAACAATTGTTGACGAATCAACTTGAAAATCAATCTGTTACGATTAATCAAGAATATGATATATAACAAACTGAAAAGGTTTATTCAATTATTCGATTGTTTTTTATTGTACAGTACGATTTTTATTTTCTCGTTTAGTCTCTAGGTACAGTTGATGATATTAATCGTATCTGAGAAAACTTACGATATATATTATCACTTTCAAATGAAGCTTCCTTAGAAGAAATTGTTGTTTATGTAAATAATTTAGTAAAAGAAAATTCGTTCTTAAAAGAAAAAGAAATTTCGTTAACAAAAGATCTTGAATATATTAAACAATTAATCGATGTGGATCAACAATGTGAACAATTAAAAGAACACAATAAAGAATTATTATTAAAAAGATCAACAAATTCAATAGATAGTTTGTTGATTGAATTTAATTGTTGTTTGTTTTTTGGTTGAGTTTCTTTGTAATTAAGATGATCAACTTCAACAAGATTATATTTTATTAGAAAACCGATGTATACAATTAGATGATGCAAGGGTGTGGGTGTGGGTCAAGGATTTGGATATGCAGGAAGCGAACACACCTACACGGACACCCATACCCACACCCACATAGTTAATTGAACTGATCTAGTACACTTATTATTTAGTAATAAAAACCATAGCATTCCGAGTTTTATTGTGATTCTTTCTGATGATTAGTGACCATCTTGTGTATATGACTTTTTTTGTGAAATGTTCAAATCGCTGGTCAATCTTTACTAATTATATCATAGTGATCTATTTTCTTTTGCTAAAAGAATTAATAAAGATTAGAATAAAACATATGAACGAAGAGAGAGTTTGTGGATAGTTATATGTAATCTTCTTTTCTTTCACATGCAATGCTTCGCAGAATTGAATGAGTACGAAAACCATCAATGATTATACAATGCTATTTTGTACTTGTACAATTCAATTTGAACTTGAATCGAAATTTGATATACTTAGGGCAGTCCAAATGTAGTGCCAACGACAGTTTAATATCACATAGTAAGTTTGAGAAACCTTTCTTTCTATATGAAGTGATAGAAAAAATAATGCTCTATCTTTCTGTACTATTTGATCATTCTTTACCTAATACCATAATAATAAAATTCCCATGATATTTGTTTAATTTTTCCCTTTTCTTTAACACAAGTTCATCAAAAATAAAGCCATACAAACATTTGACTATTTCTATTATTATAAAATCATCCACAATCATTAAACTGGTACTTGCTAATTTTAAGGCTTATTTATATGAATGACTTTTTTCACTGTCATATTTTTAATGAAACCAAATAAACGCACATTTAGTGCAAGAAAATGATTGGAAACAAAGAAAAAAGGTTATAAATGAACATCATCACTATCAATTCATTTTAAGTTTCTTACGTTCTTTGGTTTTTATCGAAATGTTAAAATTGCTGTAGCTTCTTTCGAAACTAAATGTTGTAGATTAATATTCATGACTAGAATATTGTTTAACTAATTGAATAATTTCAATGTCAAACATAAATTATTCGCTGTTATAATTAGATCAAATTGTTGAGTTCCATCATAGATTTCTTTTACACTGTTCTATAACGCAAGAAATCTGCACAACATCCATCAGTTAAATCAATGAAAGTATATGACACCGATCATCTAACTTTTTCTATGATACGACAACATAAGATGATTCTTCTTTGAGGTTCATCAAAGTTGTTGATCATGACTATATTAACTTGTCGAACGTGCTCAAAATATTAAATATATATGGTTGATTAGCTCAGCTGGGTGATATTTCTCACTTATGTATTGGAAATACTGAATTGCATATACACTCTCAAAAATTTACAAAATCAATATTATCTAATCTACAAATACATGTGAATCGAAATTGAAACATATCTCCCTCTTTTATTTCATCGAAGAAATCTCTTCATTAATATATTCACTACTTTTGATACTCCTGTTGTCTTTGTGGTCTTAAGAATTCAATTAAGCAAGATTAAGCAATAGATAGTCATACTACTGCTTGATTGATCATCGAAGTCATAAATACAGGTTATGTTATGAAATATAAAGTTTTATGACAATTTGTTGCCTACAATATCATGTTCTTACGACTCATGACTCTTCCCTTGCGAGGTATGGTCAAATGTACACAAAAGAAAGTGTTTGGAACCAAGTGCGTCTCTTTTAATGTATTTAACATTTGAAGTCTTTCGAACTATAGAGAAATGACAAAAAAAAAGGCCAATTGTATTTAGACATATATTTGATCATACATCGGGGGAGAAGAACGATGAGCATGAACACATTTCAGATTTTCTTAGTCTTATTAAAACATACTTATAGCCAATAAATGGAGTTAAAAGTTCGAACGCAATCTCGATACTTTGTTCATCAGTAGTTGAATCATAAATAAAGAGAGGATATCGGAGATGATGAATATTTTAGTTGAACATCACTGTTTTTATTCTAGAAGAACCATTGCTACAAAAATGTATATTTCAAGTGTAGTTGGTTATTCTATTATATGATTTGAACATAGTACTGTTGTAAGTAAGTATAACTAAAAGAAGAATATCAAATTGTATCCAAAATACTAATATGGCAATCAATAGATAGAATATATTGCAATAAATTTATCCAATCACATTTCAAAGAATAAAATATTTTCATTTTTCAACAGGAATATATCAATAAAAAGAGAGTTGTTGCAAAGAAGTCAGTCTAAGAAATGAAAGTTAGTAACATAATTTTTAGTCTTGACGCATTATGTAATATCGTCTGACATTCTCTATATTGTTCATTTGTAGACTTGCATGACCAAACGGAAACAGTAATCCTCGTTATATAACTCCGTGTTGAATAGCACTATAATAACAAACAAAAATTTGACCAACCTAGCAAAAAAAGATAAACATTAAATGTTGAAATCACGCAACCTTGTTGATCAATTTGTTTTATGATATTGTGTACAACAGTTATAACTTCCAGGTAGCAGGTATATCTATGGGCTGTTGCTAAACAAACAAGAAAATGTTTTTGAATTACTGATGAATGTCAGTTATTCTATTGAAGAAATTGAATGAAAAAAGTCACTGGAATCTGGAAAGTCTGTGTACTTGATTTTACTATACGATTACGTTTGATTCAAAATAATGAGAAGACTATATTTGTTGAATCCACTGTACTGCTCGTTTTCTGAAAAATTGCAAGCATTAACTTTTGATAAGAAAAGATAATTTAATCAAGGAAAAAAATTGGAAAAGAAGTTTTCAAGATACTATAAGTGAATAATTATTTATGAACTGCTCATTAGTTTATAGCAATACAATTCTCATTGTTTTCTTCTTTTCTTTCCTAAAGAGGATGTTGACACTCTATATCTTTTCTAGAATAAATCTAATCTTCGAAAACAAGACTCATTTATGCTAAACACATTTGTTCAGTACAATTTTTCGATTTGACCGATGTCGAGAGGATTCGACATCGACTATTTAAATACGTTTTGCTCTTGCATTGCTCATTTGCATACACAGCATACAAGATCACGATGGCTAAAACCTAAATGGTTGTCAGGTACTTGCAGCAACATATTTCATAAAAGTTATTCATAAAATCGACTTTCATCCTATCGTCTTTGATTATCAAATTAATGACAGAAAGAAATGATCGGATTGAATAAAACAAATTGTTTTCTTACTATATACCTTGAAAATATAAAATAGATGAAAACTTCAGTAATGTAACTATTGAATAGTAAAAAGAATCACTTTACCTAGAATTATATGATATTTTTATGTTAAACGTCAAGTCTTCAACATCACACATGTAACTTCGATGTTGTGATTCCATCATCAACAAAAACAACGAAATAACAACGTGAACTGATGTCATGTCAGAGTTAAATGAATCAGAGAGAATATCTTTAAACGAATCTTTATTGAATTAGATAATAGTCTTTTGACTAATAAGGATGTTGATTTCCAAGGGATGTCGTTTATTTTCAATTAAATGGAGGGTTTTCGTAAAGTTCTACCGAACTAATCAACAAATCGACGCCAGTAACATTGAACAACCAGTTTCTTTTCCTTGAACGTGTAAATAACTGCTAACAGGAAACTTATATCCACACTATAGTGAATGACTAAGATCATATTCTTTTTAAAACAATCTTTTTCAAGTACTCTTACTAGATTTTCTTATCACTATGATCTCAATATTGTCAATGGAGCTATTTCAGACGATAACTTACTTTTGTATTCAATTGGGATGAAAGTTGTTTGGTTCTCAAAATCGAAATTGGTATTTTGCATGACTTTAATCTCAACCGTGAACTTGATATTTTTATTCTGAAGTAATAATTTACGAAGCATTAGAAGACCCACTTTGATAAATGTCGAGTAGAAGCCACTTTCCGAAAATTCATGTTTAATATTTCTTTCCATCATAATATATAAATTCAATATAAAGAATATACAGCTTAACTTGTTAGTCAAAACTTGGGCTAAATATTGATATGTAAACAAAAAAAACTGCAGTTAAATGAGAGAATGAACGTATTGATGTGGGTGTGAGTATTAGAAAAGACTCCCACCCACCCACACACATTCACACTCTACCCTACATACTTCAACATTCCTTTTAGATTCTTTGTCAAAAAAGCGACACACTGTTTCAGTAGCGCTCATAAAAGTCATGTTGTTTAAAGCGGGTTTTGGTATGAAGACAACTTTGTCCATGGTAGACGTCAGAAACGATTCGTATAAATAATGGCGTGTGGATGTGGGTGTGAGTGTTGATTCATGCAAGCTCTGTACACCCACACCCACAAATACAAGAAATATTCAATTAGACACCACGATGTGCTTGTCTTTCAGCATTAATAAGAAGCTATCAATATGTGAATACAGAAGTAATGCACAAGAAACAGAAGAAACAACTTAAGAATAAATAAACAATATTTTTCCTTCCATGAAAAACAAAAGTATTTGAAGACTATTTAAAATCACAATAATCAACTTGTACCTGATATATTCGATGTGTTACTTTTGCATGATGAA